CCTTTTATTTAAAACTAAGAAGTATGTGTAAATTGCCAAATAGATTATTTGATTTATGTAATAAAATTGGCAACTATGATCATATAGACTGACACAAATATTTAAGAAGTAGACATAAGAGGAAGTCTCACCACCATTTAAACATGCAAAATTAGGGGATAATTTACCAGTTGGTACAGGGGTTTGATAGTTGTTTTTGTGAGAATCACATCAACAAAAGGTTTCTCAGAAAGTGGCCAAAACTCATCCCATTCCAGTTCAATCACAGGATTTGATATGGCCCGATCGCCTATTTGAGGTTCTCCCATTTCATCAACTGGAAACTAACAAAGAAATTATCTACAAAAATAATCATAATACTGATGAAAAGATACCCAACAGTACAAACAAAACACAATTTCTAATTTGTAATGGCTGGTCTGATATCTATAGTTATAAAATTGTGCTCTCTAATCATTACCAATTTCTAATTCTCCACCCTTCTTGTTTATTTTGTTTTTAGCATAAGTGATATAGGAAATGTGGGATTCGAACATAGCTTTGACTACCAGAAGGCAAATTCACGACTTCATTTCCATTCGGATGGATGTTTCTTTGAGAGCAATTACGTTTTGTGTGTCTATTTTTGCAACACAACATGCGTTGTTGTACTTGCGTGTTACCCAATTTAAGCCTCATCTCATATTCTTTCTGCCATAAACCTTCAACTATTCCTTCCAATTGAATGAGTTCATTCTTTAAAAGCCCATACCCATTTCTACTATTTGATGCATACAAACACATTTTGTTAGCCATACAACTTAAACTTCCATATCTTGCAGTTTCTACAACCTTCTTGCTACCACTTTGTGACATAAATGCGTATCTAATGTCCATTCAGGCACTTTTTGTCCATCGCTTCATTATGAGTAACAAGGGAGTTTCTATAACATGCTCCCACTTCATCCCATAATACAAGTGGAAACATGGAATGCCTTCGCTTTTATATTTGACGCACTCTACTCGAACATCTTCCTTACCAAGGCATACACAACTCCAATTACTTTGCGGTTCTCCGTATTTGGGTAAAATATACAACCGTCCTCCAAAATTATTAATGTTTTTTTTTCATGAATATATAAGCCCTGACTAAGCATTGATCTCGTTATGTACCAATAAAAAGAACCTATGAGTGTAAATTTGGGAACCATGTTGCTCAAGAATTTTCAATGTTGTTGTAAGCACTTCCTTTTACTGTTTTGGCTCAAAATCTTCATTCGCCATAGTATTCCTTATATGTGTCATGGCCTTATCTATTGCCGAAATGCATTTAAACAACTTAACGCATTTCCTCAAGTAATCTTTCTTAAACTTGTTCATACACTCCATGCGTTGCATATACCACCGAAAAACTTGGGCCTAAGGCGTGATTTCGCATACACATCTCATTTTACATACATCATTTCTAGCCATTCCTTTTGTTGGTGTGTAGTAACTTTTTCCTTCAAAAACTCTCATTTATTTTCAAACTCATTAAGTGCAATTGGTTCCTAAAGACATGTTTTAAATGCTCGTACAAATTCTTCATCCTTTAAGTTATTTTGTGCATTCCTTTCCATGTGTCATGCGCACAACCTATGATTGCACATGGAAACACATACTTAATTACTTTGCGCCTCACCTCTTTTCCATTTGTAAGTTTTGATATAGACTTCTTACCTTTCATGGAGGATATGAATGTTTCTAACAACCACTTGTATGTTTCAAAGGTCTCGTCAAGTAATAAGGCACAAACAAATTTTACATTCGCTCGGTGGTTGTTCGAACCAACAAACACTACTAGAGGCTTGGCGTACATATTAGTTTGTATGCGCTCTTGAATATGAGGACGTCTCGAAAGGCAACATAATCTAAAGTGAAGTAGAGTTTCTCCAAAACAAGTTAGCAAACCTATTTTCCTCATCCACACTGAACTTACAAAAAAGTTCAAGATCCATTGACCCTTTCACTTTCATGTAGACGAGTGCAACGTTAGTTTCACTGTCCAACAAGATTTTCCTATGTAATGCATCCAACTTATTATATAAATTCTTGATTTGGAAGCCCACTTTCAAATACAACACTAATTGGTCTACCATGTACTCATTAATATGACATGTCATCACCAAAACTTTACGGATTGCCATTGCTTAGGCTAAATCCGCCTTCGCAACATCCCGTTTCGATTGGAGATAAGGTGATTCACATGGCATCATTAATTCATTTATGTGATTTGGTTCAAAGTTTTTTATGATGTAAACCTCACGTTTCTTGTCATAATTCACCACCAAAAAAGACAAACAATTCTCTCTTATCAACCGCCTAGGTGATCGCACCTTATTCGATAGGTCATTTCTCTCACACCTGCCTTTGAGCAACACCACCGTCTCCTTGTTAATTTTACTTCCTTATTATAAATCAATGTGTCTTTCCTTACACTAAATTCAATAGCCTTTGCATAACTTAAGTAAAATTCCTTTGCTAACTCTAACGTTTTAAACTCCAACCCCTATAACATTTTCTTTCCTCAAATTCTTCCAATTAAGCCCATTATACTGTCTACTTTGACCCATCGATTATTCGGTTGACATTTTCTCACTGTTCACTACTTGTGCTTCCTGACTTGATACTTCACAACCACCAAGATATCTTTCGTCAGTGGAAGCAATATTTGATGCCTCTAAGGCCCTCACCGTCTCACTAGTGCATTCTATACCAACTACAATTATACAATATGTCCTAACATATACATAATGTAAAGAAGCAATTTCATAGCGTCATCGGGTGTACAATGAAACCATGCAATTTCATAACTTATAACACGATATGCTTACAATTCTTACCTCTCACTTCCGAATGGTTCGACGCCTCCATCCTTTAAACTCAGTACATCGTCGCTTCTACCCTAGACAAACATTCAGAAAATGTCCGGACTTGAAAGCGGTTGAATGACTCCACTCATGCATGTCAATTGATAACCTTATATTTGTCTATTTGTGTGTTTATAGATACATCGAAGTACTTATGTGTGTGAAGGCACGTGTCTTGAGAAAGTATCAAAATAGAGGTGAATTTGATTTGGCATCTAATATTGTTGCACACATTACATGCTTATTTTATGCTTTTAAACTTTAATTTTAGCTTTTTAATTTATGTATATTTCCTCTTGGCAGGCCAATGTGATTCGCAAAACCACTGTACTTGATGTTATGAGAAGATTTCTGCATGTAAGAAACTTTGATTACCTTCATTTATCTTAGACAAAGCAAAATTAAACAATTCCCTGATATTATTCTCATTTTTCAAACAAAAAATATTATGGTTTCCTCATATGCTAGAACAAAAGAAGCTAGTCGAGTGAAGTACATCTCAATATTAAACATCATTTAAGGAGAAGTTGACCCTACTCAGGTTGTAACAATAATAGTATTGTAACTTGCATTGCAATCCTATAGTTTTTGCAAACCAGCAAAATTTATATTGTTGAAAATATGGAAATGAAATTGTGTGAATTATCCTATATAGCTGCTGGTTTCATAATTTGAAAATAAATAAAATAAATAAAAATAAATAATTTGAAAATAAATAAAATAATATACTGTCCAAAATCAAAAAAACTGGAAACCGCACCGGAACAAGTTTAAACCGGACCGACTGGTTTCATAATTTTTTTTTTATTTTTACCAAAACGAGATAAAATTGCATTGGTTAAATAGTAGCAATTCTGTTGTGAGGTGGAAATTGAAACGGACTGAACCGCGCCCACCCCTACTTTGAAGTACTACATTTTTCTATATTTAAGTTTTAATACTGCTTATGTTAGGTTAGTTGGCCATGGAGTGAGTTTGCACCTGCACTTAAATTCAGGTCCAGATATTTATTCAAAAACCTATTTTAGCATGACATATTGTACAAAAACTCATATAAATCTTATTTGAAGAGAAAAACTCAAAACTAGTCACTTGTTATTATAAAATTTTAACACATTAAGAACCAATTAGAAAATGACAAGTGGCTAGTTTTGGGTTGTTTAACTCCAAATAGGGTCTATAAGAGTTTTTGTATATCATGTCATGATAAAATGGGTTTATTAGTGAAGTCCTCATTCGAGTCCCCCTCCACATCGATTAGAGTTATTTTAGAGTATCGTTTGAATACATTTTTATTTTATTTTTTATAATACTAGTTGAAATCAATTATCAGAATGGTTTGGTTATAGTTAGAAAAATTGATAGTTTACCCTTTTAAATCAAAAAAGATAATTTTCTTAAATAATTGCATAGAATAGATTATAAAAGAGTCAACTGCAAGACCATTAAGTACAAAATTTTGGTCCCAACAGAGAAAAAAAAAAAAAAACACACAATATTTTGTTGGGCAAAGTAGTCAAATTGGTTGTATCAAAGTAATTTACGGGCTTTCGTTGTAAAACAAAAAAAAAAGTAATTTACGGGCCAAACGATGGGGATGATAATTGGGCCATTAGCTTGATCTTAAATAATTGCATAGAGTAGATTATAAAAGAGTCCGCTGCGGTGCCACCCATAGTTGGGGCCCATCCAGGACCACCTCGTGGTTCAAACCAAAAAAAAAAAAAAAAGTAATTTACGGGCTTTCGTCTGTAAAACAAAAAAAAAAGTAATTTACGGGCTTTCGTCTGTAAAACAAAAAAAAAAAAAAACACAATATTTTGTTGGGCAAAGTAGTCAAATTGGTTGTATCAAAGTAATTTACGGGCTTTCGTCTGTAAAACAAAAAAAAAAAAAAGTAATTTACGGGCCAAACGATGGGGATGATAATTGGGCCATTAGCTTGATCCAGCACCGTCTGCAGAGAACTGAGCTGAGCCCAAGTCACGGCAGGTGTCCGTGCCGCTCATCTCACAAACTTGAAGAAGAAAAAGTTATAATTGTTCAAAATTCAACTCGCAGAAGAAGGAAAAGAGAATGGCGAATCAACATTCTTCATGTTCTTCCTTGCTTGGAATTCCAGTGCTTTTAGTTTTTTTATTGTTGTTGTTATCTCCCACAGTTCTCGCCAAGTCTCGTCGCCCAATCTCTGTAATGCTTCTGTTTCTGACTTTCTATTAATTTCTTATCTGATACTAATACTATGCTTGTGGGATTTTTGTTTCTTTTTATTAATTCTGAATTTTGATGGGTTTTTGTATGTGGGTATTTGGCAGGATATTGAGACGAGGCAGAAGAAGAACCAATGCCATTGCTATTGAGACGAGGAGAGGTATCAACCTCCTCCTCTATTTTTGATTTCCCATGTACTATTTTTTTGTGCTTTTCCTAGTAGTAAGCATATTGTCAGCTTGCAAATCATAGATATGATAGTGCTCTGATTGCTCTTTTTTTTTTCCTTACACTATGGGAATAGCGGATTGTGGGGTTGGCAATGTAAGTCTTCTTTGATAGCAAAAGAGAATTGTGCTTTGCGATGCCTTTCTTCAACTTGTTATGAGCTTGTCTACGAGAGTGATCCGGTAAGATGGACTATTTTATACTCTCCTTTGTTGGCTTGGTTCCGTTATACTTATTATTTTATGTGGCATGTGTTCTGGTTGTAGCTTGAAGAAGGAGGGAAAGATCTAGTTAGGGGCCAAGAGTTCAAGAGAAAGATCTAGTTAGGGGCCAAGAGTTCAAGTACTGTATGCACAAGTAAGTTCCATGTCTTTAGGGATATTAATTTTTTTTTTTTGCTGTACTATTGAGTTGATGCAACATGATAATTAGAATTTTGAAGATAACATAAGGGCCATAGTTGAAAAAATGTAGTTTTTACATTTGATTACTGGATTTTTGAAGGGATCAATGGTAAAGATTGCTGAGAACATCAAATCACCAATTTTTATTTTTATTTCCTTGGAAAAAAGGACTTTTCTTTTTCTTTTCATTAGGAAAAGAGGTTGAGAACTGCCAACTGGTTCACTAAGAAGGTGAAAAATCAAGGCTCTTTTTCCTGAATGTAAGAATGTAGGCTTGGCTGCTCTTGTATCCTGTATATGAATATAGAAAACTTGAGATGATTGCGATACCTTAGCCAACAGTACAAAATTGATTTGGCTGATTGAAGTGTTTTACATTTTGCAGTTGAGTGTTGGGGCACTTTAGGGACTTAATTCTTTGTTGGGTTTTCATATTTGCTTGTGTTAACCCCCCTGTGGGCTAATTTGTCTAGTATAGACACTGAGGTTGTGTCGCGATGGGTTAAAGGTAGTAATAGTCAAGGGCAGTTGTTGGACCAGTCTAGGACCTCTTAAAAGACACAATTTCTGGTATTATACTGAAATATATCCTCAGAACTGTACTGACTAGCAAATAGTTGGCATTCATAAAGATCCCCTACCTAACGGAGGTTGGCGAGCTGAGTATCGCACTATCATTTGACATCTGGGATAAATTCTTGAACCTTTCCCTTCCTTCTAAAATGTTATTACTATTTTCTCATTTTTAAATTCAGTGTTGGTGGTGCTCATCAAGGCCAGTCTCCCGTGGTTTGTGGCCCTTCAGGTTATACCAGCAGCCACCTTTCATATTTACTAGCACCAAATTTTATTATGAATCGGATCAAACCTGGCAAATGAGGAACATAATTTTTTTTAGGGAGAAGACCGTTCTTTAATGGGAATTGAGGGATACAATGGTGGAATGGATTTTTGAGTGGATTAGATAGATCTTTTCTTTTGACACAAAAAAAAAAAAAACAAAAAACAAAAAAGATAGATAGATCTCTTCTACTTTTTCCATGCAGATTGATTTTGTGCTATCCTTATTTCTTTTTTCTGTTTTTTTTCCTCTCATTCCTCAATGCTTGGTTATGCCCAATGTGATAAATTTCTTACTTAAAAATAAAAATAAAATAACTGATCTGGATGTTAGACATGTTACAAAGATTATTGTTATTTAGTGTGCGGATGTGAACCTTATTGTCACTTGGTAATAGTAGATAGTGATGTGGATCATGCCTATTGGGTCTACACTCAATTCATATTATAAATTAGGTCTTTCTGGAAGTGGCTTTGAAAACTTGTTGAGGAATTCTTTGCTTTACGGCAGTGTTGTTAAAGTATAACAAATTTACCATAGGTTGGGGATTAGATGTGCTGTGTTGGTTGCCATCCTTGCTTCTGTACTTACTAAGATGCTGAAGTTATATTGGCAGAGTATTTTCTCCTACTATTTAGATAATGCTACCCTGCTGCCTTTTGTGGTATATAGAGCCTTGAAGGAAGTTCTGATTTTTCTTTAAGTGAAAGTGTATATATAAGAAGTCAAATCAGATGACTAATCCTGCTCCTATAAAACATGTCTTTTGGAGCTTCTTTTAAAAAAAATACATGTCCTTTGGAGCTAGAAGGTCCTTTGAATTATACAACAAGTCAATTGTTCTGGCTACTTAAATGCAGGATGCATTTTAGTTTATTATAGTTTCAAAAATTACATGCATGTGGGTGTGCTTGGTGATAATGGGATGAGCTGCATGTCCTAAGCATCCAAACTTAACATAGAATGTTTTTGCTACAGAGGTTTCAATCCTTACCAGCGCATTGCTTTGTCTCTGCCCTTTTCTTTTAGTTTGTGCTTAGTTTGCTAGGCTGGTCGAGTAATTTTGTGTTGGTTTTTTGAGATTACTTGTATTGGTTTTGTAAAAGTTGGTGGTGTCTGCTGCAACCTTTTCTTTCGAACTTTTTGGTTATTTTTATCTTACAGTTTCTGATTCAAGTTAGAGACAGTTTACCTACATAAATAATCGCATCAAGGCATTGGCAAATTACTTGGGGTTGTTTTGTAACTCTTGATACATGTTTCCTTGCAGGTTATCTTTGGGAGAGAGCCTTGAGGGTATCAAGGGTTCATTTAATTATTAAATATCTGAGCTAAAAATGTTGCTTGTAAAGTAAGTTCGTATGAAGCTGTCCATTTCTCCAACTCTGGAAAAAGAAGAAAAAAACAGGATTGATAAAAGTCAGAGTTCATTTTCCAATTCTCCTCTTGCATGTAGTGGAATGCTTTGCAGGTTGAGCCGCAAACCAGGTTCAGGCTGTCCAGAATATCTGGCATTAGGGTTCATACTTTATCCTTCATCAATGATTGGGAGTTTACCGAATGCGACAACTTGCAACTATTTTCTTTAACGTCTGTAATAGTTACATTAATATGCTTGGACTTTAGTCAATCTGAATGAAACCGAGGTCAGCCTAGCATCCGAATTTCTCATGTGCTAGCATATTATCCTGATAGAGATGAAAGAGAATGTGTTGCTACTGTTTCAATATTAACATGGAGGTTTAGAGTTTTACTTCAACTGTTGGTTTCTTCAACTCTATTTTAAAAGGTGTGCTGTGTTTCTTCCTATATTTTGTTTGTGGGTAAAAGAATTAGCAAAAGATTGAAATTGTATCAATCTAACATTTCATTACTTTAGTCTCTTTGTTAACGCATAACGAGCCAACGGCTAACTCATCAGGGTAAGTCATTAGGATTAAGATAGACCAAGAGGTCAATATCATCCCATCCTTAATTAGTGCAGCCAAGCCCCCCAGCACCTTCTACCGAAATCTTGCCCAGTAATAGTGTTGGATAAAATCAGCTGCATGAAAAAGAATAAACAGCGAAGAAGAAAAAATATATAATTAAAATAAAACTTTCCCTTTCCTATTTGTTACAGGGGCCGTCAGCCACTTTCCTTTTCCTAGTATTTGAATGTTTCCTAATTTGAGAAAAATATATATATCTCTCCTTTTCCCACTTGGACAAGGTGGGTAGGCTATAAAATATCTGAGCTAAAAATGTTGCTTGTAAAGTAAGTTCGTATGTTGCTTGTGGGAAAAGAAATAGCAAAAGATTGAAATTGTATCGATCTTACATTTCATTGCTTTAGTCTCTGAGCCAGTTTTTTCCTTTTCTTTTCTCTCCTTGTTAACGCATAACGAGCCAACAGCTAAGTCATCAGGGCAAGTCATTAGGATTAAGATAGATCAAGAGGTCAAAGTCATGCCATCCTTAATTAGTGCAGCCAAACCCCCCAGCATCTTCTACCAAAATCTTGCCCAATAATAGGGT